GCCCGCTGCCGAATACTGCACCGAACCCTTCTGAGACCTGGGTATCGTTAGCTGATGCGAAGCTGGATGCACTGCCAGGCGACTGTAGTCTCGCCTGCTTGGAGTCCCGGGCATGGCCGGGTGGATCGGCCACTGTGCATCCCTAGGTGTAGTCGGGCCTCCGTCCTGAACCTGCTCGTCCATGTCCATCGCAGGGGCCGCGGCATTAGCATGGCCTGTGCCGTCGGCCCTGGAGGAGTTGGCCCTCCCTTTTCCGATTGCGTTGTGCGATGATGTCTGCGGGGCCGCGACACGCGGGGCACAGCGCGACAGCTGAGTCCGTCTGTCTGGGTTAACAGCTGTAAATGGCAGCCTTGATGGAGAACGTGGCGGCACTGCAGCCGCGCCACTGCAGCTCCGTGCACGTGCGCCTCGAGGCAGATGGGACAGCTGGCGTCGCCGCCGTCGAAGGACGCCACAGGGGGCCGAGGCGGCGGCGGGGGTGCCTGAGGCTGTGGCTGCTGCGACTGCCCCCCCTCGCCTGCCCCAGGCTCCTCAGCTCCTCGAGCGTGCTCTGCACGTTGTTGAGCTCCCAGACTGGGCGCCACTGGGTTGCGTCCAAGGTCGTCTCCACCATCGCGACTGAGATGCCAGGGCGGCTGTTCTGCTGCTGCCACTGCTCCCGCCCGGCGAACCAGCTCGCGATCCCCCCTGAGGGCTGCGTCTGGTCCAACGGCGTTGTGGCACCGTTGCCGAAGAGCGGCAGCATCTCAGGGTGGTTTGGAGCCGCTGGGGACTCCCGACTCGGCACAGCACGCGGAGGCCACATGGTGCTCGGACCGCATGGCGCGCTGGTGCCCAGGGCCGATACTGAGGGCATGTACGCCCAGCTCGGCAGCTCAACACCCCGCGGTGGCTCTGGCGGTGGGGCCACGCGAGCATTGAGGTCACCAGTCCAGTCAGCTCCCACAGGGAAGGCGGCGACCACGTGCCACTGAGGTCGCTGCTGCTGCGGCTGCTGTGGCTGCTGCTGTGCTGGCTGCCGTGGCGTTGCTGGTGGGGCTGCTGGTGCTGGCCGCGCTGGTGCTGAGCCCGCGGATTCACCGACATGGTCGGATCTTCCGGCGGCGAGCTGCTGCTGCTGGATACGCTGCCTCATGGCCTCCATCTCATGTCGACGTCATCGTATTTCGTCCTCGAAACGTATCGGAGAAGAAGTGGGGGGAGGCCGAGGCTGCTGCTGGACCGCCAGGGCGTGATGATGAGTCCTGGCTCCGCTGAGTGTGGCCGACCTGGTGCCAGGAACCGTCAGACCCTGACGTCTGTGGTCTGCGGGAGGCGGTCGTCGGCGCCGGCCGACCTCCGTTCCACGGATCAGCACCCTGCAATGGATCACCTTGGCCAGGAGAGCCGTCGACATGGTCGTCGGTTGCCCCTACCGCGGTGTCCGAGACCATCCACACCTGGTGAGCACTCGTCCTGGGCATCTGCGCTGATGGCTCAGGTGGGCCTGATTGCCCAGGAGAGGTCAATGGTGACGTAGATGATGTAGGGGACAATGAAGGGAGGTAGGCGTTCAGGTAGAGGGCCCAGCCGCCATGCTGGCGTCGCTGAGGGCAGTCGCGCACGAGGTGCTCCTCCGAGTCGCACTCGTGGCACTTGAGGCGCTGCCCGTCTGGACCCATGGGGTTGCCGGACCTGCCCGTGCTCGTGCCGCTGGTCCGGTGCTTCCCCTTTCACTTACCATTGCCCTTCCCGAAGCCTAACAAGGTCTCCCGGACCGTGGCGTCGTCCAGGTGCGCGAGGTAGGTGCGGCCCTTGCCGCGGCCTTATACCCTCCCCCTTGCGCTTGAGAGCTCGGCGCGCTCGACGGGTCGGCTTGTAGTTGTTGAACCGACGCCACCTGCTCCTGGCGCGCTCGTAGGCCCAAAAAAAAAGCGGGCCGCGCGCTGGTCCTCGGGGGCGCCGTGGAGCTCGGGGTCGCCCTCCTTGATCTCCTCGCCGAAGCTCGACGCTGTGCCCGAGTCGGTGCCAGAGTCGATTCCACCGGCTGGGTGGGCCTCCTGCTGGCGGGGGGCCTCGGCACGGCTGCGGCCCCCACTAGGCTCGGGAGGGCTGACTGCGCCCGTGGCCGGAGGTCCTTGGCGACCCAGGCTCAGACCGCCAGCATCACCATGGAATCTGCTGGGGTCATTCGGCGAAGGAGTGGCCAAGAACGTCAGGCTTCCTCCGGCACGAACTGCCTGGGAGAGGTCCCCGGGCGAGTTCTCCACCATATGGCCGATGCGGCCCAACTGATTGGTCATGTGCTGCAGCTGCTGCGCGTTGGAGGGGTGGGCCACGTTGTAGCGCTGGAGGACCATGAGCAGCTGACTGTCGTCAACGCCGCACGCGCGGAGGAGCAGGAGGCTGAGCCCCTCGAAGCCGACCGTCAGCTGACCGGCCTGCTGCGCGCGGTTGCGCACGATGTCGAACCGCGCGAGGAAGTCGTCGATGCGCTCCCCGGGCTGGCGGTGGAAACCCATGAGAGCCTTCGGCGGTGCGCCCCTCCTCCCCCAGCTGGCCCCAGCGCTCGGCCAAGCTGTGCATCGGGAAGGTCATCGGTGGCGCCGGCTGCCCGTTGATGATACCTCCCTGGATGAGGATCTGGGGCGGCCACTCGTCGACGCAGGCCGCCTGCCGGAACTCGTTCACGTCGGAGTTTGCGACAGACCAGATCATCACCTCCCGGGCCCATCGACTGAAGGGCGCGCGAGCCTGCTGCTCGGGCCCCCAGGTCCGGAGGTGACGGATGTTGCTGCTTCCGCCCCCGCCTGCGTCCACGCATGACAAGTAGGAAATGGCAAGCAGGGCCCCAGCTATGAGCTGCGCCCACTTGTGGCTGAGGCCCCTCAGCAGCACCTCCATAGCCTCGGAGCCTGGGACCCACCATCGTCGATGCTCTGGCAGGCTGCCTCGGAGTCGACGCGGATCGTGGTCCCTGGTATGCTCTGCTTCGCCGGCCTCCTCGGGATCGCGGTTCACCGAAGGGTCGTCGCGCCAGCGATGCGGGGGATTCACGCCATCAGCGATCGTCTCCGCATTATTGCACTGCGGCTGGTGCTGGGCGGTGAACTTGACGAAGGGCTTGGGCTCCGGCCAGTTGCGGCGCTGGGTGACTGCCCCGGGCTCGGCCTCGCCGAGGAGGGTGCTCATGGAGCGTCCTTCTCTTTGGGCCTTGGCAGTGCCGCGCAGGTCGGGAATGGCGGCCCTCCAACTCCGCGGGCCACTGGCGCCGCGCGCATCCCAAGTCGCCGCGGGGGCCGCCGTCGCAGCCGTAGGCGTGGACGAGGTTGTAGGCGTAGGCAAAGCCGTAAGCGAAGACATTGTAGCCGAAGGCGTCGTCTTCGTGGCCGTAGGCGTGCTCGGAGTAGCCGTCGGCGTAGTCGCAGTCGCAGGCGTTCCCCTTGAACTCTCTTCTGACGCCGATAGCTTGGGCTCGGAGTAAATCTCAGGACTGACGCTAGCAGCAATCTCCACAGGCGGAGACCATGACATCTGAGACTCTGGGGTTGCCTGCGACATGGTCGCACCTGGCTCTCTCGGGATGTACGAGACACTCATGGGGTGATCGCGCGGGGCGGTCGTGGCGCCGCACGCTGGGCTCACTAAGACATCCCAAACAGGCTCGCGTTCCCGCCCTCCCTTCCCGGCGCCGTCCTGCCGGCTGCCGTCGTAGATCTTCTGGTGGTCGCACGCACTTGTGCAGGATGGTCGCGCCTGCTCTCGGATCGCCGGGTTCATGCGGCGGGATCGGGTTCCCATGGGTTCCCTGCCGCGCCGCGCGGGGGGCAAAGGTACAACGCTATACTGATGAGCGTGCTGCTCGATATGCGGAAGAACGCAAGGTTCATGTAGACGGAGTGGGAGAACGTCTTCATCGAGATGACGCGAGAAGAATGGAACATCGTGGAAGGGAGCCGAAGCTCCGCCACCAACTAAAGTAACAAGTAGGGGATGAGATATAAGAGAATGTGCGCTCTGTCTTGCGAGAGCGATGTATGCGGTATGCGGTGCTGTTAGGCGTATATGCGCGGGCGCTGAGCCTGGCCAGGCTCAGGGCCCAAAAGGCAGCGGGAGAGAGGCGGGTGAAACAGGGCAGGGGCTGTGAAAGGCAGGGATGGTCTGAGATGGGTCCGTTCGAATTGCGTGTCCATGCGGGAGGCGGGGGCGTACGAGGAATGAACGAGGTCCCTAAGGAGCAAGGAGAAGAAGCAAGCTGATCTTTCCCCATTCCTTCCCTCCACCCCGTTCATCCTCCCCTCCCCTTCAATCCTCCCTCCTCCTTCCTCCTCCCTCCTCGCCTCTCTTTCGAAACCCAGTCCCTCCTCCCACTTTCGTCTTGCAACCCATTCTGCTCCTCCGCCCCATTTTCCTCCTCCCGTGTCTTCCTCTCTCCTCGTCCTCCTCCTCCTCCTCCTCCTCCTCCTCCTCCTCCTCCTCCTCCTCCTCTTCATCCTATTCCGGACGCAGGCGAACGCCCCTACTCCCCTTCGAAAATACCCCAAACATACCTCGGCGATGACGCCACCGACGACGATTGGAATGACGCCGACCCCCATCCCGCCACCGCCGACGACGACGAACGCAACGACGAGACCAAGCCGACGCGGACGCCGTGCGGACGCGGCCGCCGATGCCGACGCCGACGCCGACGCCGACGCCGACGCCGACGCCGACGCCGCCGACGACGACGCCGACGCCGACGACGACGACGACGACGACGCCGACGCCGACGACGACGACGACGACGACGACGACGACGCCGACGACGACGACGCCGACGCCGACGACGACGACGACGGAGACGACGACGCCGACGACGGCGACGACGACGCCGACGGTGCCGACGACGACGCCGACGCCGACGCCGACGACGACGACGACGACGACGACGACGACGACGACGACGGCGACGCCGACGGTGCCGACGCCGACGACGGCGATACAGACGACGACAATAGCGCCAGCGACGCTGCGGCCTGCGGGACCGTGGCCGCGGGGCCGCCCGCCGACAGCGCGCCGCAGGATGGGGGCGCCGAAGCCTGGCGCACGCAGTTCTTCCCCCCCTCTCCTTACCCTCGCTCCTCCCTCCTCCTCCTCCTCCTCGTCCTCGTCCCTCCTCCTCCCTCCTCCTCCTCCTTGTCCTCCTCCTCCTCCTCCTCCTCCTCCTCCTCCTCCTCCTGTCCTCCTCCATCCCGTTCCTCCTCCTCCTCCTCCTCCTCCTCGTCCTCCCTCCTCCATCCTCTTTCCGCACCCCTCTGCAACTCACATCTCAGAGCCGTCCTTTCCAGAGGCTCTGGGGGACACATCTCTAGCCGTCCTTCCTGGACAAATGGCCCCTGGAGGCCGCATGGGGCCTCATGGGGCCCAGGACACTGCAAGAGCCCAACCTACGATATCCGCGTTCCCTGGAGCATCGGGTTCCCAATCCTCTATGTTTCAGCCATGCCTTGCTCAGTAGGCCCTCCCAGACCTGTGCACCGTACCACAGCACATGGACATATATGTGCTATAATCCGCCGATGCAGCGTGTGAGTTCCAGAAAACTACAACCTGAGCTTCAGCTCTGCTGGGGGGGGGGCCGGGAGGGGCTCTGCCGGGGTAGGGGGGGGAGGGGGGGGGGAGGGTTCATCGGGTCCACCCTTTCTTCCCCCCCCCTCCCCGTAATCCCAAACCGCCCCACGACGGGCCAAAAGGGGCCCAGGAGGCCACCAAGACGGTCCAGGAGGCGCCCGAAACGGCCCAAGAGCGCTCCTGGACGCCCAACATGGCCTGAAGACGGCCCAAGAGGTCTCCAAGACGCCTCAAGGAGATCCCAAAAGGACCCCCAAGAGGGCCCCAAGAGGGTACAATAATAAAGTTGCGAATAGGTTTTGAAGCATTTTCACATTATCGCCTTTTCCGTCTTAGAAGCGCCGAAGACGGTCCAAGAGGCCCTCAAGATCGCCCCAAGACAGCCCAAGAGGCCCCCAAGAGGAGCCAAGACGGTCCAAGAGGGCCCCAGTATAGCCATGGAGGCCCCCCAAGACGACCCCGAGAGGCCCCCAAGATGGCCTCAAGAGGGTGAACCCGAACGGACCCTTCTAGTCCTCCACCCCAAGATGACCCCAAGAGCCCCCAAGATGCCCCCGACGCGCCCCCAAGGGGCCCCCAGAGGCCCCCAAGAGGTCCCCAAGAGGCCCCCAAGAGGACCCCGAGAGGCCCCCAAGAGGCCCCAAAGGCCCCCAAGAAGCCCCAAGAACAAAGAGGCCCCAAGAGGCGCTCACTCGCGTGCTGCCAGTCCAGAGGTGCACGGCCTGACTTGATCTTGCTCGGAAGCGAAAGCGATGAACGAAGAACCTTCCACCCGTCGCCGTCACCTGTCGTCGGTCGTCAGCCGTCGGCAGCCGTTCGCCGTCAGTCGTCATCGTCGTCGTCGTCGTCGTCGTCGTCGTCGTCGTCGTCGGTTCGTCGTCATTGACTCCTTCGTCGGTCGTCGTCGTAAATATCCCGCTCGTCGACCGTTGGTCGTCCGTTGTCGTCGTCATCGTCCATTTCAACAACAATGGCATCAGGAGCGCCCCGGATCGGCGGCACTGGCCGGAGGCCACTACAATAGGACGCTTCCTTCCCATAACTGTTCTGGATTAAGCCTCTGCTGCGCCACAGCGGTGCGAACATTCTGGAATGCGATTAAGATACGCAGGGCAGCGAGATGGCCGCTGACAAACAGCCCTGTCGATCACTCCATGGACCACACATACGATGGCGAAGAACAGCGCCGACGACATTGAGTGGAACGGAGATCTCATCATGGTGGGTGTCCACGAGCGAGACCTCAAAGGCCTACATTCGAGGCGCTCGAAGAGAGGAACGTTCTGTATGTGGACCGAGACTGTGGATACGACTCGAAGGTCGAGCTAAACAGGCCGCCAAGAACATCGATTGGGATCGCATTGAGAAGGACGACGGAACGGATGCACTGTTGAGACACGTTCGCCCCACACTAGGAGCTCAGCCCATCCAGGACGCCGGCAAGTACCTGGCGAAGTGGATCTTCGACCTTCGACGAGACAAGGGCGAGTCCATGCCGAGCTACATCTCGAGAGACGATGAGATTTGCCACAGCGTGACCAAAGGCTTCGACACAGAGAATTTCTGGAAGCAGATGCTCGAACGACTGTCGGACACGACAAATCTGTGGAACGACCTCTACCACAAGCTGGACTGGCTCCTCAACAAGGTGCAGGATGACGCCGCCGAAAAATCCGCCGACCTTGTCGGCGTGTGGAAGAGGCTGTTCCGTTTGACTCGTCGTCGTCGTCGTCGTCGTGGTCGTTGTCGTCGTCGTCGTCGTCGTCGTCGCCTTCGCCGCTCGCTTCCCCCCTTTTCCCGAAGCCCGTCGCCAGTCCCCCCACTTTCACCGGGTTCTCCTCCTCGTGCGCGCCAGCCACTGCGGAATTGAGCAACGTTGTACTTGAGTCGAAGGGAAGCCCATTCCCTTTGACCTCTTCTCCGCCAAGGGGGGGGGGCGGGGGCGAGATCCCAGGAGAGGGTCCCGGGGGAGGTCCTGGGGGAGGGGTCTGGGGGAGATCGGGCGACTGGGCGGCCGCGCCAACCACAGCGAAATTGAACACAGTTGTAGTTGAGTCGAAGGGGAGCCCCTTCCCTTTGATCCCTTCCCCGCTGAAGGCGAGACGAGACGAGACGCGCGTGTCCGCCAGCTGGCGGGCCCCTTAGGAGCGGCGCGGGCGGGCTGGGGCCCGGTCAGATGTGCGCGTGCGCAAGGTAATATTTCTCCCGATTGTTCCAGAATGTCCGGTCTCCAGCAACATCCAACCACGACGTGGTATTGTCCCCAATGGTAGCTCGTACAAATTGTGATATTTTGTCGGACCACCTCTTTCGCTGCCCTCCGTGTCTGCGTATCGCTGGTCTGGCGTCGTGGATATCGGGCCCCCACGCCGCAGCAAGTCTGGTCCATCTGAGGCGGGATTGCGTTGCGACTCGCCCTGCCCATCGCCATTTGCGCTTGTGGTAGAGGGTCGTCCAGTCGTCTACTTTGAAGCGCGTCGGTAGATATGTAGCCGCGCGGGTAGCTCTGCGAATGAAATCCTCCCACGGTCCCTCATCCGCTCGGTGGAAGCTCCGCTGGGGGGGGGGGGGGGTCCGGAGGTGAGGTCCCGGGGGGGGTTCCCGCGGAGGGCTCCCGGGGGGGTCCTGGCGGGGTCCTGGGCGAGGGGTCCCAGGGGGTCCCGGGGCAAATACGACTACTCTCCCGTCGGGCGGTTGGGCGGGGAAGAAAAGCCTCAGGACGCGGCGAAACTGCCCTAAAATGCCCCCAGAACTGTCCTCGAGGGCCCCGGATCGCCGAAGTATCGGTCCAAGTCTCCAAAGTAGCCTCCAGACGGCTCAAAAGGTTTCAAAAACGCTCCGAACAGGACTTCCAAGAAGGTCCCAAGGGGCAAGAATCATCGATTCCCCGTATTTTTTCAAAGATTTCGGCATTTTCGCCTTGTCAGCTTCCCGACGCTCCAAGACAGGCCAAGAAACTCCCAAGACCGCCCCAAGATGGCCCAAGAGGCCTCCAAGAAAACCCCAAAACTACGCAAGAGGGGCCCAAGACCGACCAAGAGGCCTCCAAGACAGCTCAAGAAACCCCAATGACGGCTCCAAGTAGGAGCCCAGACGGGGGACCCGAACGGACATTTCGAGCCCGCGGACTGAGAAGCTCTCAGGAGGCCCCTAAAGGTCCCTAAGAAGCCCCCCAAGAAGCCCCAAGAAGCCCCCAAGAGACCCCCGGGAAGCCCCAAGAGGCCCCCACGAGGCTTCCAAGCGGCCCCCAAGAGCTTCCCAAGAGGCCCCCAAGCTACCCCCAAGAAACCCCCGATAGCGTTCGTCGTCGTCGTCGTCGCCATCTAGGGTCGGCGGCACCGGCCGTTATGCCTTCGCAATCAACGCGCGGCCCCACCAATTCGTCAAGACATGATCATGTTTCAACCAAGGGATGACCAGCTTCGCGGATGGCTACCACTGCAGAGATTTCGATTGACACCGACGGAGAGCAGCCATCAGCGCAGGTCCAGACACCTTCGACTACCAGCATCGGCGAGCAACTTCGCGTATCCTGGCCAGGTGGCGAGCTCACGAACCGAGATCGCAAGACAGGACACGAAGGTGGACGTCACCGTGGTCAAGGGCATATCCACGCTGGATGGGAGGAGTAATAATACCACGGCAGCCAGGACTCCTCCTACTACGAGGGCACCGAGCCGTCAGTCATCGACGGCGGCGAAGACGAGGACGACGACTCCAGCGCGCTGGAGGTCGAAGAGGCCGAACAAGCGTTCGCGGCTCAGCAGCACAACTTCAATGAGGTTCGTGATCTAATGCGGTGGTGGAATATACGTGTTGCAATCTAGGTCGTGCGATCTACATTATGCAATTTATGAGGAGCACATTCGGTTGGCAAAATATGTGGTGGAATGCATGTTGTACAGTCTACGTGGAACAACTTACGCACCGCTGGATGCCCCCAAGGGGGGCGGGGGGTGTCCGGGACGAAAATGGGGGAAATTACGACCGACTAGGACGGATTCCAACAGTTGGGGTACCAATCCCAACCAACGGGTACCAATTACAACCGCTTTGGAAGATCCTTACGGGTTCCTTACAAGTTCCCTGCAGGCTCCGTAGAAGCTTCTTAGAGGCTCCTTCTAGGCTCCTTTGAAGATCCTAAGAGGCTCCTTGGAAGCTCCTGACTGACTCCCGAAAGGTTCATTGGAAGTTCCTTCGAGGACTTCCCAAAAATTTTGGATGAATGTCCGAAAGCTTTCTGGAGGGTTCCGGAAGATTTCTGGGGATTTCTCCGGATCCCGCAGGATTCCTAAGATTTGTGAAGGTTCCTGAAGGGTTCTTGAAGATTTCAGCCGGACATCCGAAAGCTTCCTGAAGGATGTCTCACGGCTTCTGCAGGATGTCCCCAGGTTCGCGTGGATTCCTGGAGGATGTCTGGTGGATCCTGAAGGAATCCTGAAGGACTCCTGCGGGATTCCTGCGGTCT